GCAGTGGGATGAGATTAAACAGTTCAAATCATATGTCTCCAACAAACTGGCTGATTTCTCCCTGTGATTAGTGGTTTATGACCCGAACTGCCTGTCAGCAGATGTGTGAAGACAATCAGGTGGGTGTAGTAACCTTTCCTTCTGATACCCCTGGAGTATGTTGGTCTACAGCTTGAATCCTTTACTTCCTCCAACTGAACTTGAATGCCTACCTTGTTTTTTAACTGGCATTACACTTAGCAAATGCAGCTGCTCCACATATGGGTTTCTGTCCCTGGAGTTCAAAGTTACTGGGGCCCTTGCGGAGTCAGCTGGAACTTTCTCCAGTTGATGTGCATTTTCACTGACTAAAGGAATGTGTCTTGAAGTTTCTGTAGCCTGCTAGGAGGTAAGTTAACCTTGCCTCAGAACTGCAGTGTTAGGTTTGTGGTGGGACTCATGATCTTAAAAGTCTTTTCCAATTTAAATGATTCTGTGAAAGGGACTGCATTTCCCGTCTACCTTTCCCATCTGCACTGGTGATACTGATGTCTGCTAGACTTCCTACAACCAAAATACAATAGTCTATCCTATGTATCCTGTGTAATGGAGCTTTGAGTTTGCCCTGTGAGATAGCCTGCAGGATCTCCTGCTGTTCAGTTCCTGAGCCAGGGCTGACATCAGGATTTCCCTCTGTAGGCTTGGCCCACCAACAGGAGACAGAGGGGCTGTGTCACTCCCTGAGGGCCAGTACTTATCCTTCTGGAAGAAACCATGATGGCATCAACTCCTCTGCACTGCACACCGTGGGGCAGTGATCACAGCAGGCATCCCATTCCACAGAGCTGAGAGGACACAGGTATCCCTGCAGCGAGGCAGGTGGAAAATGAAAGTCATTATAAAAATGGAAGAAAGATAAACATCCCCAGTGCTATATAAAGGATGAGCACACTAGTAGAAACAAAGGGGTGTGTTTCTTCAGGACAAAGAAATTTGAGCTCTGTAGTGTCTAGAAGGGAGCTGAACCACATAGTACTAGAAAGCCCCTGGTCACCAGAGACAGGGAACTGCATTCACAGGTGGTTTTTATTCTGAGGAACTGTGAAAATCTCTTGATGATCCAAATGGGTAGGTGATCCATTTATAAACACTTTTCTACTGCGGAAGATTGAGGTTTTTTGGTAGAAAATATATTGAACTAAAAGGTTAAACAAAAAATTAGAATAATGAAGCTGGGAGCAAAACATAGTTAGGCTCCTGGAAATCTAAAGGATTCACTGTTGGTGTAGAGACCCAGAATTTGGCTTAGATGTCAGCACGGCATCCCCTACACTGCTGAAGAGTCTGGGCTAAGACAGCATGCACAGAGCAGCAGACCTCCAGCTGTGGTAACTGAGGGATCATGGCACGTTCTTCAGTTTGATTTATTAAATTCAAGCACTGTCAGGCAAATATTGTCGCCAAGACATAGCCTAGAACGTGAGGAAGAGGTGATGCTTCCCCCAGATGTATGGCAGCTTTCAAGGAAGTGGATCCAGTGTTTGAGCCAAAGATGGCAAATGGTGTTTCTAACAAAAAAGAATCACAGTGGGTCTGTGGTTTTCTTTTTAGGCTCTATTCTGTGTAAAAGACTCCAGTAGAAGAAAAGAGTTGGATGGATCTCTACAACAGCAGGTGAGAATTAATCCTTAGCTCTAAACTTCAGCCTGTAAATTTTCTATGTGTTTGAGACAGGAAACTCTCTAATGCCATGTCTAGTGTATGCTGCAATATTTGTTCCAAACTGGTGTTACTGAATGGCTTAAATATGACTGTCAAACCCATAACTGTTGCAGTGTGGGTTCTTCAAGGAATTCTTAAGTCAAAGCAGACTCTGTGTTTCTTTGAAATACAGTAAAATAGCCATGAGTTTTATCACTCAGTGTCTGAATTTCTCTAACAAAAGCATTGCCAAACCTGCCTCATTCAAAAAAGGGATTCACAGGTCAGGGATTTTTATTTTTAGCTTTCAGGGAATACAAGGACCTTGCAACCAAAACAGCAGCAGATGGGAATCCTGTTGTGTCTGCTCAAGAAGAACCAAACGCCTTAGGCCACCTTTTCATCTCAGCAGTACTAACGAGCTTTTGGTTGCATTTTGGATTATGCAGTCAATTGCAAATAGTTTGATTTTAAAAAATCAAGAAAACTGGGTAGAAAATGCATGGTGTATTAAGATTATTCCCTCCTCTACTAGCAACCATTTCTTCAGGATGAGTAAACAGACTTTCAAATAGAAAATAAGCTGGAATGGTGTTTCAAGAATTTTGCCTGTATCTTTCTGCAGCTGGGCAGCAGCAGATGTACTGGATGGAGGATGCTCTGGGCAGCCTGTGAAAACTGGGCCAATACCACATTCTAACAGCCAGTTATTGCCACATCCCTCCTGGCACAACTGTAAAGCTCTCCTCTTCAGCTTTCAATGCAGTCAAAGATGTGGCAAAGGGAGGTCTCCATCTGTATTTTAATTGTTTTGCGTCTTCCCTTCTTTATCCACAAATTCCTCACAGTCCTTTGTCTTTTGTCCCATGCTGATTCCTCGGCTGTCATTTCTGAGGACAATCCACTGTGCTCCCAAGACCTTTTTCCTGAGTGGCAATGGTTCTTCACTGCATAGATAGTTAGGGCTGTCCTCTTCCCCCTGTACACCACTTTGTGTCTACTGTTACAGTCTTTGTCACTCGGTGCTGTAACCACCCATCCTCTGCTTGCAGCCAGCTTTCCATCTAACCAGCCAGAACAACTCGGTGGGTCACCAAACTCCATCATTTCATTACTTATTCCCTTTTCCTGGAAACAGCCTGAAAAGCCTCAGGCTGCATAAAGGATCCTTCCAGCAGGAGAAATGTGGGAGAGTGGAGAACCCCTCGGTGTATTCCTACCCTCACTGTGCTTTCCTTCAGCTTCTCACCTTGTTGCAGCCAAGATGATCGGGGAAGTCTTTGGTGAAGGGCTCCATGAAAAGTCCTTCAAATATTTGCCCCATTGACTGAGCAGCTTTCCGCCAGCGCCCCGGGGCTGCGGCGAAGGCGGTCCCGGCTCTGGGGATCCAGCCCGCTCCCAGGCCGATTCCCGTCCCACCTCGGCTGCCGGCACCCGGTTCCAGCTGCGCTGACACCCTGGGGCTGTGAGGATGGGGCCGGGGAGGGCTGGATGGATCCCGTAAACACCTCCACCGAAGCCGGGCGAGGACGCTGGGAACAGCCGGGACGCGTCCCCTCGAGGCGGAGCGGGAGCGGGATG